TTTTTTTTTGAGACAAGGCTTCTTTATATAGTCTATGCTGGTCTTCAACTCCAAACATAAAACACAGCCCAGGCTGGCCTCAAACTTGCAATCCTTCAATCTCACCCTCCCAAGTGTTGTCATTATAGGCAAGTACCACTACTTCCAGCTTGCACAAACCAGTCTGATTTTTGTGACCTACAACAGAGTCCCAACTAACACCTATTTTCTTCCCTTTCCATCCCACAAGCAGGAGTTTTCAACCAGATTTTCTTGCCTACGCAACTGAACAGTCAATCCTCTTGAATTCCAGTCTTTCCTCCTCCCCCTCCTTCTCTAAATCCCCAACAGTACATGTACAATAATAGACAGGACAGGGGCTGGAGAGATGGCTCAGTGGTCTAAAGCACCTACTTGAAACAAGCTTGGCAAAGCACAGGGACCGCGGTTCGATCCCCAGCACCACATGCCAGCCAGTCCCGCCCCCTGGTGGGCTCAGCTGGCCACACACACACAATAAATAAATGTAATAAATAAAAAATAAGTAAATATTTAAAAAAAAAAAATAATAGACAGGACATCCGAACCATAGTACTTCTCTTTTATAGCTACCTGTCACAAAGATTGTTAATCTTCTTTCCTGCCAACAGAACCTAGTATTTTTTTTGAAAAGTAATGTGCTTTCCATGACAGCAAGTGAAACATGATCAAGAGTTCAATGAGATGTAAATGAAAGTATTCTATGGGACTTCCCCACAGTCAAGAGGGAAAAAAATATCTGCCTAAGAGGCAATTCTGTAATGATGATTAAAGAGCAGGATGATAGATGCCTTAGTCCCCAACCATCGTAATTCCAGACTTCCTCTCTGGTTTTTTTTTATATAAGACAAAACACATGTTAGCTACCTTTCAAGTTGCTCGGACAAAATAGCCAATAGCTGAAGTTAAAGGGAGACAGACTTACTTAGCTCTGTTTGTAAAGGTTTCAGTCCATAATCAGTGGGCTCCAAGGCAGGGGGGGCTTTGCAGAGGACAGTTCACGGTGCCCACAAGGCAGCAAAAGCAGCAAGAGAAAGGAGACAAGCCTCCTCTGCCCCTTACATTGTATGCAGGCTACCACCATATGGCGGGTACACCGCTCACCCTTAATCCCAGCCAGAATTACACCAAACCAACCAGTGGACTGATTTACTAAGCACAAGGCCTTAATCCCAATATCATACCCTCTAGATTCAGTCACCTCTGAAAAGTCCCCATGACCACAAGAGGCTCTGGGGGGTCATCTACACAGACACCATAACAAAAGATAAAGCTACACTGATTAACCAATGAATACTAAAAGATTTTCTAATAAATGCTGCAAATTAGCTGATATATTCCCTACTGAATGTAGTCAAAGACTTTGGTTTACAAGGCCTTATCAATTCACTTTCATCTTTATTCACCATTCCTGTTACATATGATCTTAATGAATCTTAGTTAAAAATTTAAAAATCATACAGAGCTATTGTATTAGACACTGCAAAAATCCATGTAATGAAAGGAGAAGAAACAGACTAAATAAAAAGTTCCAAATATATACTGTCTGTAAGAAATATACTTTCACTATAAAAGAAACATACATATTAAATAACTAAAATAACAAAGAGATGCACCATAAAATAAAAAATAAAAAAGACCAAAACAAAACAAAGCAGATTTGAGACAAGAGTATGAAAAAAAGAAACAAAGAATATTTCATAAATCAGTCAATTCACCAAGATGGAATACTCCAAATGTACACATATTTACCAAATAAAGAGAAAACCATGATTAAAAGTAAAAGACTAAATGCTTTACCCCTAAGACAGCGCTTAAGGCAGTGATACCCATCTACTCTGCCCACTTGTATTCAACACCATCTCAAAGTCCTAGCTATGGAGAGAAGCAACAAAAAACTGAATGAAATAAAAGCTGCAGGCCAGAAAGAAAAAAAGTAAAACTATCTTTATTCACACATAAGTACCTAGAAATCTGGTCCAGAAGCTACTAACACTAGTATCTGTGAATTTAGCTAAGTGAAAGACAAAATATACAAAAGGTAATTGTATATTCAGATACTAGTTACAACACAGAAAATGATGGTTTTTTTAAAAACCTCCACTTACATTAATGTTCTAAGAAAAATAGGGAAAAAGTAATAAAAGATATGCAAGACCTCTACATTGAAAGTTTATAAAACACTGTGGGAAAATAAAAGACAGTTTAAATAAAATGAAGAACATGATAAATGAAACGACTTGGTACATTAGGAGGCCAAAATGACACTGAGCAATCTTTTTTCACTTTTCTGACTCTACTAGGCCCCTACTCTCTCTCTTCCCTTATTCTCCTTTTAAAAATACCCAAATATTTCTGCAGAAATTGGAATGAATTGCAGCTATTTTCCTTACTGTAATTGTTAAGTCTGTTTTCACTGATTTAACTAGTACATAGCTGTGTTTAGCCCTAACCGTCTACTGCCCAAAACAGGTTCTGAAAGTACACATGGCCAAAACTTTGCACTGTGGTGATTCGCCTAAGAGAATAACCCCATGAAGATCACACGTGCAAGACCAATTACCCTGAACAGCTCTAGCTCATCACTCTGCAAGCATAACTTTTTCCCTGGAAACAATTATAAAGGTTTTGACCTGCTGTCTTTTTCTCTGTGAGGCCTTGCAGTCTACAAATGGCTACAGACAACAATAAATCCTGTACACTCTCTCTTTTAACCTCACATATATAAACAGATCCTATGTTAGACACTTAAATTTAACTTCTATGAAAAGACAAACAAGAATAACAAATTGTCAAACGTCTTGAAACTTCATTTTTACAAATCTGCTTTCATGCTTCTGCTAACTTTCCAACTATTTTTATTTAGCTTTCTTTACTTCCCTTCAGGGAGTTTAGTGTTCATGTTCATGTTTCTTTTCAGTATCCCCGGGCAACTCATGCACTTAATGGCTCCAATCACATCCTTCCCTCTTATTTGGAATTCAAAATCTACATTTCCAATATTCTGTGGACATCTTCAAGTGTATGTCTCCCAAATAACTTAATTAACTAGCAATGTATGTTTTAGGTTTTCATATCTCTGAAGTTATCATAAATTATTCTTTTAAATAAAATTTCTCTCTTACAGTTCTCTGTCTTGGTTAGTTTTTAGTACTTACTGATGAACTATCAGTTGATTCACTTTTTTCATATTTCTGTTTCTTGCTCTTTTTTTTCTTTTCTTTCTTTACTTTTTTTGAATGCTTATCTTTTTTCTTCTTTTTCTTCAGAGAATGTTCCTAGGATCAGCAGATAAAAAAGGAAATTAATTTTTATTTTACTTTAGAAAGAAACAATGTAAGGGGGAAATATCCATATTCTAAAAACAACTGAACTCTTCTACGAAGGAAAGTAAAAAACATAACTAAATAAAAACTTCCAAAAAACTTTAACATGCTTTCTGTAATATAGGCACAACTAAATAAGACATATAGTTCAGATTTCCTGCCAAAACACATGATGAACATTTTTGTTTTATTTGTAGATTCATGTGATATAATCAAATAAATACATACTTAGAAATACATGTTTATAAACATACACACATGAGCGCACACATATATCCCCGGATTCCCAACAAAATGTATACAAAACTACTTTGGCTACACCACAAATGGGACCACAAACCAATCATCTCAGGTACTCAAGAAGCTGAGACAGGCAAGTTCAAGGCCAACCTGAACAATTTGCCAAATCCCTGTCTCAAAACACCAAAAAGGGCAAGCAATACAGCTCAGTGGTATCATTTCCCTGAGTTCAATTTCTACTACTAAAATACAAACGGTAAGGCAGGCAGGCAGGCAGGCAGACAGTAAAAGTATACAGATACTGTAATTAGATAGAGATAATGATAGATAGCTTGACAGATAGATAATTACATAAATATGATGTCAGTTAAACTAGCCTGGATTAAAATCATAAGAGAGACTGAAGGGAGGCAAAGAGAGGGACAGAGAAAAGATGCTGAGCAAAAGACACAAAGTTTCAGTCAGATTGCAGGAGTCAGTTTTAATGACCATAGATAATAAAAATACGCATTCCAGTGACCATATACAACCTATACCAGTAACCTCAGTACTTGGGAGGCTAAGGTAGTTGGATTGTAAATTTGATGCCAGGCCTTGGCTACATAATGAGTTCAAGACCAGCCAGGTCTAGATGACAGTGAGACTTGCCTTAAAAAAATACATACATTCCAGGGCCAGGGAGATGGCTCAGTGGAATAAGCACTTCCCTGGCAAGCGCAAAACCTGAGTTCAATCCTCAGTTCCAAAAAACAATAATAATAATAATAATATATATATATTCCAAAATTATGAAAAAAATAGATTTTCAAGTTCTCACCACACAAAAGATATTCATGACATATTTTAATTTATTTCACTGAATCATTCTATAACATATGCACAGACCATAACATCACTCTATATTCCACATACATACAAAATTACAATTAAAAATAAAATTTTAAAAAAATTATAAGAAAAACCAAGGCTTAAATCCTAAACATCAAAACTAAAAGCTTAAAATCCATAACATTGTATTTCCATAAATTTCCCACAATGATCAGAATTTGAAGCCAAGTGTTCCATAAGCCAACTCCAGTAATAAAATCTTTCAGTGTCCTGCTGTTCAAAACATTTAGTTTTTCAAAGAAATAAAGCTATCTAATATGAGCAGGTGTGGTGGTGCTTGACTATAATTCCAGCACTTGAGGCTGAGGTAAAAGGATCCCTGTAAAACTGGGCTACATAGTGAATTCAAGGCCAGTCTGTACTACATCAAGAGTCTGTACTACATCAAGAGACCCATTATGAAATAAAATAAAATAAAATAAAAAAGTGAAAAAAAGCTATCTAATAATGCTAACTACAGAATACTCTGTAATCTATAAAAAGTATATACAGGTGTACTCTCAATATTAATTCAACTTGTGCAAAGAAAACTTATCCTAATATCAGGTAGACCCATTCATATTCACCTTTGAAAACTCCTCAATTCGTTCACTGACATTAGGTAGCATCCATGTATCCTCACCTCGAAGTCGTTTAAGTTCTTTCCGCCTTTCTTCTTTTTCAAAATTGGCTTTTGCCTACAATAAAAAGACAAACTGAAAAGGACTCAACTGCTTTTCACCAAAAAAAGAAAAGAAATTGTACCATTTTCATCTAAAGGTACCTTACTTATGTATGGTCTGTTCCTGGGACTCAAAAATATAAAACAAAATCTTTCCTTCCAAAATACCCATCATCTATAAAAGGAATCACCAGTCAGAGACAGAAACCTTGTACTTATTCTAGACCCTTTCCTCTCCCCAAAAGATTTAGAATCCCTTCTCAGACTAATTCCAGTTGCTGAGTTGAACTTTTGAAACATTTAGAAAACTGATCTCCATGCCTCAGTATATAGTGTCCATACCCTAATATCAACTCCTCTAAAATATCTCATGAAAAATCAACTTTCAAAAAAAAAGACTGGACAAGTGAGGTACCTCACACCTGTAATTCCAGGACTCAGAAAGCCAGCCTGAACTACAAAGTGAGTTCAAGGCCAGGCTGAGCTGCATAGGGACACCCTGTCTCAAAGAAAAAACAAAACAAACAAACAAAAAACAACCTACCATACTGTCAACTTCCATTCATTTTTTAGCAATGGTCAAATGAAGGCAGCTTTTCCCAGAAAGCTGTTTCCGCCCTCTCATTTTTCCTCTCAACTCTAAAGCCAGTTTTGGTCCTTCTCAAACAATGTATTTCTCGACTATGAAATATAACACAGCTTAAAAACTGTACTATCTCCAAAACTTGCCTTGAAATACAAAAGAAACTGGAATAAAAAGTATTTTACGTACGCTGAAATCAGGGAACAATGCCAATCTTTTTACCTGTCCAAGATTAATCTCCCACTCTTCCCCTTTAAGTCCAGTTGTACCCATCTTCTCTCTTGCCTGCCTCCTCCAACTTCTCTACTGACTCCTGCACATCCGCATTCAAACTCGCTTAAAACTCACTGCAGCCAGGCATGATGACACACACCTGTAATCTCTGCCCTCAGGAGGGTGAGACCGGGTATTGCAGAGCTCAAGACCAGCCTGGGCTACGCGATGAGTTCAAGGCCAGCCTGAACTGCACTGCAAAACCCTGTCTCCAAAAAAAAAGGGGGGGTAACCCCTCTCATTTTAACAAACAAAAGCCATTACCATGCCCTATGTTGCTCTCAACAACTCTGCCCTTTCATTGTCACATTTTTTTAAACACGTTAGGTAGCTTTTCAGATAACTAAAAGCTCACTTTCTCCTTCGCAATTTCAATTTCTCAACCTTCCACGAGAGGCTAAGTTCCTCTCGGGCTAACGCTCACGGGGATCACCGACGGCTGACAGTAAATCTGGCCTGCGGGCGACACCCGAAACGCCAGGCGGCTCCACTGACACGCGCCTCCGCAGGAGTCGCTGGACACCTGCGACTTCACTTCGGAGAGCGCAGGAGCGACGGCCGGAGCTAAAGTACCACACCCGGGCAGCGGAGTACTTGGAATGTACGCGGTCCGAGGCAAAGAAACTTCAAGGAAAAATAAAACGCACGTCTCTGAAAAGAGGATGGGCAAATGTGACCTGCCCCAGCGCTTCGGAGACAAGAAAACACAGAACGCTCGGCCGAGGCGGGATGCCGAAGCGGTCGGAGAACCAGAGGGCGGGCTCGCTCCTGCTGTCCAGCCCCACGACTCTAAATAAAACTACAGTTTCCTCGGAAGGAAGGTACCTGACGCAACACCTCCGCCCTGGCAAGTCGGGTCTGCTCCTTACGCTCTTCGATACTCTTCTCACTTTCAAATCTGCCACTGGAAGCCGCCATAGTTGTTGCTGTCGTAAAGCTACGAAGCCGTCAGGCAATCCCACTGTACGACTTTCGACTGTCGTAATTCAACGCACAAACCCGGACTTCCGCTTAGGGAGGGCAGCGCAGGGGCGTTGCTCTGCTGACTGCGCAGGTGCAGGAGTTCCTCAAGCAAGCGGGGCGGGTCCTCTAACGCCCGGCTGAGCGATGTTCAGTCTTTGCTTGGGGATGAAAGGAGCCTGGGCCAACAAGTCGATGTTGAAGCTTCTGTGTTTCGCTTTGATAGATTTTTTTTTTTAAGATATAGAATACAGCCAGGTGAATTTTGGAATGTGCTTCATAATTTCTCCGTGCTTATTTACATTACGAGTCATTACGAGTTTACAGCATTTCTCCTCTGCCCTCACCTCACTATTCATCCAAACATTTTTTTTTTTTCATATAATGGGCAGTTACCTATTAGAACGAGGATCTTCTTGGCTTTCTTTTATCATTGTACCTCCCAAATAAAACTAAGTTCCAGGAAGAATAGAACATTCTAAAGTATCTTATAAAGAATATAAAACACCAAGCTTAGATTTAGAATCATAAAAGGCTGGAGAGAGTAAATATAAACTAGATGCCAAAAGATCAACCAGGTGTAAATATTCGTTCGGATTTCATAAAATTAAATGTGTATGTACAAGTTTTCCCAGGAATTTCTGCTTTAACTCTCACGCTTTGGAAGTCGTAAGCATATAATGTTTACGTGTTTGCTACATAATGGAATGCATTCATTTATTTAAGACATTGAATTTTAATGGACAGATAACGATAATAACCGAAATGTATTTCAGTCCATTCTGGCCACTGTAGCAAAACTAAAAACTAAATGAATTAAAAATAACAAATATTATTAAAAATAACAAATATTTCTTTGTTATTTGAAGTCTGGAAAGCACCAGATTCCAGGGCTGGCATATTTGATATCTGGTGAGGACTAAACTGTTTTATAGCTGGCTTGACCTGTCTTTTTGAGATAAGGGGTATTAGGTATTGGTTATTAGATTTTTCATGTCCATTAAAATTTCTTTTATATAGTTGGGTGCTCTCATATTTGGTGGGTTCATATTTATGGTTATCTCATCTTGGATTTTTTTCCCCTAACCAGTATGTAGTGAACTTCTTTATCTCATTTAGTCGTTCCTTATTTGAAGTTCTGCTTTTGAAAAGGATAGCTACCGCTGTTTTCTTCTGAGGTCCTACAGCATGTAGTATTGTTATCCATCCTTTGACTTTCAGCCTATGAATTTCTTTGTAGGTTAAATGTGTTTCTTGTGTACAGCATACAGTTGGATTTTGTTTTTTAATTCATTCTGCAAATCTTTTTAATTGTTTAGCTGAGTCCATTTACATTGGTAGTTATAACCGATATGTATTGACTTACGTTTGTCATGTTATTTTCCTCTTTTTGGTTCCCTACTTTTCTCATTTGTTTGTTTACCCTCTTTGGTACTTTCCGTTATCATTCTTAGAATTGTGGTCATTTTGATCCTTTTCTAGAATATCTTTTAATACTCTGTGTGAGGTTGGTTTGGTTGTCTTAGTTATTCTTTGTCGTGAGAGTATTTTACTTCTCCATTAAACTTGAAGGAGAATTTTGTAAGGTATATCAGTCTGGGTTAGAATTTGTTTTCTTGTAGGACTTGAAATACTTTTCTCCATGCTCTTCTTGACATGATGGTTTGTGGGGAGAAATCTGCTGTTATTCTGATGGGTTTTCCTTTAAATGGGATGCATTTCTTTTCTCTACCACCTTTTAGTATGTTGTTCTCATGCTGCTTTTCTGGGATCTTGATTATATGTCTGGGTGTAGTTTTAATTAGGTTATTACTTGGAATTCTATATGCCTTGGTTACCTGAATGTCAGATTGTTTCCCCATATATGGAAGTTTTCTGATATTACTGCTACCCATATTTTTTCTGTATCATTTGTGTTTGCTCCTTTCTCACTGATGCCTGTTAGTCCTATATTGTTTATCCTTGAATCATCTTGGAGCTGTTGAATTATTTTGTGGATCCTAATTATTTTTAAGAGATCTTTTCTTACCTTTTCACTAGCTGCACTGGTGTCTTCAAGGTCTGAAAGGCTATATTCACTTTCATTCAAAAGGTTTTGCCCACTTGTGATGGAGTTTTTAATTTTTTGTGTATCCCTTTGAATCTGCTTCATGCATTTTCTTTCTTTTCTATATTGCTCATTCAAGGTTTCCATGATTTTTCTATTCTTCTCTATTTTTTTATCAGTATCTTCTCTAGAAACACTTAGTAATTCTTTCATTATAGTTATCATTTCTTTTTTTTAACGTGGGATATTATTTCTGATCTGATTTCCTCTGTACCCTTCTGCAGTTGGTTCTTTACTTCAGTTGCCATTATTTCAGAGTTTCAGCTGTGTGGTTTCCAATTTCTTCTATGCTGATGTCTCCTGGGTTTGTTCTGGGTGGGCTCAGGGCCTGAGAATGCATTTTGCTCCTTCTTTTTGTCATTTTCTATTTCAGAGAGAATTCTTTATTTTTATTTGTGATACCTTTTTGTGATGATTTGATAGTAGGTAGCTGTATCATGAAATCCAAGTCTCTCTGTAAAGAATCTGTTCTTTAGGTACCTCTCCTGTGTCAGAGATTCTTGTTTTGTGTTTGTCCCAAGTTTTTGCCTTCTCTATTGATTCAGAGTGAGATACTGTCCTCTATCCTTTGATATAGGGGTTTGGTGAGGTTTTTACCCAAGAACCTCCCAATATTATTACCCAAGGGAGAACGTGGTTAAGGTAGATATGGTTTCCTAATTATAGTAGTACAATCAGCAATACTAATAATAAATAGTGAAATTTAGAAATTGACAGACTTAAGGCTGGGGAGATAGCTCAGTGGACTAAGTGCCTTCTTAGTTAAGCACAGGTACTGGGGTTTGATCTCTGGCACCACATGCCACACTGGCCCAGACCCAAGCATGCTGAGCTGGCCACTGAGACCAGGCATGGTGGTACACACCTGTAATCTCAGGGGAAGCTGAAAACAGGAGGATCACTGTGAGTCTGAGCTGCATAGTGAGACCCTGTACCACATACATTTTTTTAAAAAAAGAAGAAAAGAAATAGACAGACTTTTGTAACTACCTGGTATGTACTTTAGACTATAGGAACAAACGTTATAGCTACACAACAAAGCAGATTTTAAGTTGGGAATTAGTATTTAAGTTAATTCCCCTGAGCTCTGTCTGGGCACTTCCCCTTCATGTACAAGGCATACTAGCTCACCCCAGTTACCTGCTACCATCTCTGTGCCATAGGGATTCTCCCACAAGTCTGGGTCTTCGTCTGGGCCCCACTGGGCCTAGCTGTATGCCTCAGCTGACCAGGTCTAGATCTATGGAAATGAAAATCGACTGGCCAGGCCTCACTTGATTCTGGCTGTTGTGCTTGGCTCCTTTCAGCTGTGCCCCATCAAAGTAGACCCACCTGAGCCTGATGGCTGCTGTGCTACGCTGCTAATTCCAGGTGTGACCCACTGAAATGGAGTGGACCAGCTGGGCCCAGCTGGCTGTTGGGTTCCTAGGCACCTTCCAGGTGTGGCCTACCAAAGGCAAGCAACTGTTCATGATGCCACATTTTGTAGAGGTTAAATTTTATCAATGTGTAAAATAAACATCAAAGACAGTTAAGATCATCCTTGAAAATCTACTAGATTGAGCTTAAGCTAAAGATACGTAGGCTGAAGAAAACCACCACATATAGTAACATACATGAAATAACAGGTAATTACTATACTAACATGCAACTGTACTAGCAGTCTGCATAACTTTAAAGTTGAAAGGGCCAAGGGTATAGCTCAGCAGCACAGTGCCTGCCTGGTAAGTATGAGTTCCTCAATTCAATTCCTGAAACTCAAAATAAATAAATTTGAAACATACCTTTTGTGCAGGATGACATATGTTCCAATTCACATGGAACAATTTAATTTGTATCTGATGACCTGATGGTCATGAAAAGCAAGCACTCTTACAATTTTGCAGGTGTCCCTTGGATGATAAATTGTATGACCATGCCTAGCAGTATGTCAGTCTAATTCCCTCTTCAACATAAGGTTGCCCATCTTACTGGAAGTTAAAGTTCAAGGAGAGGGTAAGGGGCTCTTCTAGACTTGAATGTGCTGAAGTCAGTAACAACGATTTGGATGCCCCCCTTTCCAGCACCTTTGCCTCATGTGTTTCACGGTAAGTAAGTGTTGATGTGTTTGACAGAATTTTAAATGCTATTGATTATTTTTCCAAAGCAAAAGGAATTTATTATAAATATAGGATTCTCCATTTGGAAGAGCACAGTCCACAGACCCTGACTCTGTTTCTTGAGGGTTTTTTTTCTCACTATTTTTTAGTGTCATTGATTTTTTTTTAAATTTTATTTATTTGTGTGTGTGTGTGTGTGTGTGTATGGCCAGCTAAGCCCACCAGGGGGCGGGGCTGGCTGGCATGTGGTGCTGGGGAATTGAACTGTGGTCCCTGTGCTTTGCTAAGCTTGTTCTAAGTAGGTGCTTTAGACCAGAGCCATCTCACCAGCCCCAGTGTCATTGATTTTTAATGCTAGAGATGTCGCCTTGATAATCATTTTCATTATTTTCTATTATCTTAGTAGGATTAGTTTGACAATATCCCTCTCCTTCTAGCTACCTGACACTGTATGTCTCCCCCTGCCCTGCCCCAACATGTTCAACTCCATCCAGTAGTTAAAATTGACCTAGAAGTAGAAGTACACCAAGTATGCTTCAAATATTAGGAAATTCAGGGACACTCTTGGCCCATCTGGGATTTGTGGGCACTTACCTGGATCCCAGGATGCTTTGCTTTCACATTATTCATTCCATGTTGTACATCTGATTTTTGTCCAGTTATGTATTCTCCTCCATTGAGGTAAAACAGGCTGGATTATAGAACTGGAACCTGGTTTCAAGCCTCAGGTCAGTTAAAGGAGGATTCTGGCATTTCCTTTCCTGGACCCTGCCACATCAGCTCTCACACTGCACTGAGTGGCTCTCCTGACGTATAGGATTCTGATCACTAGC